GCGACGGGCAGGAGCTCGCCGCCGACTTGCTGCTTAGGCACGAGAACCCACTCGCCCCGGACTGCAGGCTCGACATCGAACCCCTGAAATCATACAAATGTAAATAATACATTTACCAAAACTGGGCCACATTGCTAAATTGTCATTATTACTGTACATTCATCAATCCCCACTGCACAGTCGGACATTATTATTGGTTTTTAGAAAAACAAATGCAAAATTCATGTTGTCAATTTACAAAAACGTATATAAATATTATTTACAGCTGCCACCAAACAGACATAATGTACTCATACGTCACATGTAGGTTCTAGTAGATTTTAGTAGTATTTAGTAGTAGTAGTAGTAGTATTAGAAGAAGCAATAGTGATAGATTTTATAATTATTGCATTGTTGATAATAAATAATTTGTGATATAATTATTATAAGGTCAGTAATATTTACATCTCATTTCTTCTTTTTTACTTACTACTAACTGTTCCCCGCGACTTTGCTCGCGTGTTAGGGTTTTTATGTTTTTGCGCGGAACCCTAATTCTTTTTCTAAAATAAAAGTAGCCTAAGTTACTCCTTATGAAATCAACTATCTGCCAGTGAAAGTTCCGTCGAAATCGGTCCAACCGTTTCGGAGATTAACCGTAACAAACAGATAGACACACAGACAAAAATTTTAAAAATTGTGTTTTTGTTATAAGTACCGTATATACTTTCATATGCATTTAGTAAAAAACTGTTATTTTGATATTACAACAGACAGAAATATTACAAAGAGAGAGAAATAATAAGAATACATCACGATATACTTTTATATAAATTTTAACTTACAGTCCATCTGACCGTGTCATTGAAAGTCTCATTGAAGTGACTACTGCAGTCCATGGTCACCTGCGACCAACTTCAAACAAGCAAGGCTACAGGTGCGTTGTCACCTCTGAGGACTAAGATATAACGACTCTGTAATCATACTCTGTATATCTCTCAGAGCGGAACACATCAGTGCAGCCACTATTATTTGGTGTAGTTTTATTATCTAGTAAATATGCAGTTAAACACTGTATAAAGTTATTTGCCTTTGTCTACATCTGCCTTCTTTTCACGAATTTAACAGCATGCATATAAGTGCTACAAACAGGCGGTTATTGACAATCGTTTAAGATTTGGAGCATTTTCATTTCTAGCATTTTCATTTTTTGATAAATATAATAATGTCAATAATTAACTAGTTTAGACGACTACGGCCGAGAAGACTAGTTCTTTGTTTTGTAAACCGTTAAAAAAGCTGTCATTTTTCAAGTGCGTCCTTTGCTAACGTGATTTGAAGTTTATTTTAGATAAGCATGTAACTTTATTTCGTATTTGCCTAAAAACAGTAACTGTTGTTAATGAAAATACAAATACGTGGCATTATTACCGCTCCAGCTATCCACCCGCGCAATCCACAGCCGAGTCACAGTTTTTGTTGTGAATTGTCGATCAAGTAGTACACATAGAGTCTTTGTCAGATGCTTCTTAAAAGAATCCTACTTACAAAACGTGAATTTTAAGATAAAGTGGTTTGACGTTTGGTTCGGTTTTAGTGAAAACGTCTTGCCTCAATTTGTTTGTAGCTTTGCTTGTTAAAGATACTTGCTATGATGTAGCGACGCTTCTATAAGTCATCGTGTGGCCAGATTTAGAAGTAATCTGTTCAAATCTGGGAACGCGATTATTCAAACTTTAACGTAACATTGTAATGGTATATTTAAATATTGGTCTAGCATGTTAAGATGTAAGTTTTTAATTTATTACATAGCATTTTTGTTTTTATTGTTGTTCACGCCCTGAGTTGCCCTGAGTTGGGCTAGGGCCCATAGTAGCCTCCTCGACGGGCAACAGAGGACGGGGCCCAAATGACCTATGGACAATTATTTTACACAATAGATATAAGGCTTGGTAATTAATACGAACTTACCGGGTTCCGAATCGAGGACCGACCCCAAGGCGCAGTCAGGAGTTAAGTATGTGCTTGTAAGTTGATGCTCTAAGTCGTAGCCCTGTGAACGAACCCTCCATCGAAGATGAATCGCGTGTGATTGATGTTTTACAAATCGATGTAAAGGACTGGATCGCAACAGTTCAAAGTAACGATGATGAAATTAAGGGCATTAAGGAGGTACTACAAGATAGTCGCACGAAATCCGTTGCAGATATTTATAAAAATTACCAGTTAAAAGGAGACCATGTTTACCGTATAGTTGATAATGGTATCCGCTGGGTAGTACCGAGGCCAGTAAGGTGGCAGGTATTACGAATGAACCATGACAAAGTAGGACACTTCGGTTTTGATAAGACAATTAGTCGTCTGCAAGGTATGTTCTGGTTTCCCAAAATGAGGCGTTTTACAAAAAAATATGTAACATGTAGTAGTGTGTATATGTGTAACCTGACGGCCTGATTTAATCGGACAGAAGATCCACAGGAGCTGCGGTTCCCCCAATGTGCGCTCCCTCCAGTCGTAGTTCACCAATTGACTTCTGCCTTCATTTCACTATTTCAGTTTATCAACTTTATTGTACACTATTTCAATCTATCAACTTTATTGTACATTCAATTGACTTCAAACTCAACTTAATCCCCGTTAATCGTAATCAAACACGTGACACACGGCACAACTAATGAACGGTCGATCAAAGTTCAACTTCTATTTTCACTTAGCAACAAATTATTTCTAGAAACCGAACGCGACCTTCTCTCGGGTCACAAATTTCAGCGTTCCACACAACAAACTAAAATTCTTTCGTACGATATTAACAGGCCACACAAGCAAATTAAATATTGCAAATGCGCTTCAAAATGCAATCACTCACGAGTCTAGCGAAAAAACTGCAATAGTAGATTCCACACGCATCAAAGACTGGACGTTGATGGCAATCAATATTAACTTCCAAAACAATTAACCGACCCGGCGTCCGCGCAGACAATCTATTTTTCTAGACTCAACAAAACTTCTCGTCGTTGCATAAACTTGCTAACAAAAACCGACACTATCTAAATAGTGTCCTCTAATAGTGTATCTAAATAGTGTAACCTCTAAAGGTTATACGGTACGCGACTACGCTGTTCTAGTAATTGCACTGCATTCGAGGCGGTCTTACAGGGACCCAAATCTTCGATAGTAAATTAGGCGCGTACAATTACTCAAATTATCAAAACTAACTAAACAAACTATCAAAACTAAAACTGGGCGCGCGCAACCGATCCAGCGGTCGCAAACAATACAACTAGTCGACAGAGCCGCTGCGGTCAAGCTACTGTCGCTAGCTCACGAGGCCGAAAGACGGGAGGCGGCACACGCCCCCCCCCCCCCCCCCCGGCGGTGTTTACCTCACCTCAAACCATCGGGTGACGCGCCGCGCGCGCATCTTGATGCAAGTTTTTAAAATACGAGTATTACGATTTTGGCCTAAACAATTGTATTTTATTATTATTTAAATTTATTTCAATTTTTGAAGTGAATACTTCTTTAGCATCGTTGTGATTTGAAACTCAATGAAACGAAAAAGCGACACTAAATAATTTTTTTTTAAAACGTTATCCCCACACTAGGATTTTCTCCTGTATCGTGGAGGCAGTTTACAAACATAAATTGCACGAGGACAAACATCCAGACCTGGAACAATTATTTGTAGGCCATACAAATATCTTGTTCCGTGCGGGATTCGAACCAGCGGCCCCAGCGCAACAACTCATTACTAAGTCACTGCGTCACGGAGCCGTCATATAGCGACAAATATATAAATCTATAGGAGAGAATGAGATAGAATCTATACTAATATAATAAAGCGGAAGAGGTTTTTTGTTTACTTAAACACGCCAATCCCTAGCCTATGACAGCCAGATTTACGAGGAATAGTTATAAGCTATCTAGTATTAGGCTACACCTCTCAGCTAGCCTTAATATTGATTTTTGTTAAGCAAGTCTGAAGAAAAAGCGTTCCCGAACTGCTTTATCCGCGTGTGCTAGAGTAATGGTTAGTGATACGTAAATACTATGCTCTACAAAAATATCTTCATCTAAAAAAAACCGCGATACCACATGCCTATTTCGTATACTATATACGCCATACGTATAAGCCACAATAAGGTATTTTGTGACAAAAAATACTGAAAATTAAAGTGATTTATGAGCGTTATTATAAAGCATAGTTTTATGTTTCTTGGTCGGTTCATTGTCCTGTTCTATTACTTTCTCTAATGATAGTTCAGAAGTTGTGGTGCACAAATAAAATCCATTGTCATATATGAGAATGTATTGTAATTTCCACAGTAACTTCCTTACTTAAACTAAATTACTAAAGCTACGTAAAACCTAAACTACCGAGCTACCTAGGTACCGAGGTACCGAGAAGGGCGCGTGACGGGGGGCGACTGACCAGCCTAGCGGCGGCTAGCTAAAAATACTAATTCCAAACTGTGAACATGACATACAGTCGCCACCACACATACCATATTAATCCTAACGAAGGAAAGTTACTTCACCATCAACAAAATTTTATGAAGATAAAATTTGCTGTTTATAGTATGTTATTTGGACGCACAGTTTAAGAGACAATGAAAAATTTAAATAATTCAACACTCACTATACACGCGAACGACCCCTAGCCACCCGATGAAAACCGAAAGCGAATAAGCGAGATGTCATGTCTAAAAATAAGGATTGTAACATTTTTATTTATTATAAAATGATTATTTATCTTATATTTTATGCCGCAGTTGTGGTTGAAAATTGTCAAATAAAATAAATCATTTGCTGTGAAATGTTGTTGTTTTAAATTTCATTTCAATTAAAGGTTTTACTTCTAACACGTGTGAACAACACACTTTTTTTTTAAATTTTCACTTATACCTATCTTTTTTTACGGGCCTTTGTTGTCTGTCAATGACGAATCATTACTTTTTCTAGTTCTTCTTCCCCATTTCTTGGCCTGCACGGTTTGTGCGTCAGCCATGTTTTCCATTTTTCAATATATAATTATCCTTCGTAGTACAATTGTATAATTAGCCTTCATAGTACACTGCTTCACAATATGTTGATGCGACACATTGTGAAGTCCTCGGGAGATTTTGGCGGCAACTTGAGCCAACAGACAGTTGGCAATGGTATCTCAAGGCGCCTAAGCAGACAACCTTATATTGAGAATCACATCACCATTAGAGCACTTGTTTCATCGTTTCCACTAATATTTCACATGCGTAGACACTTAATATATAAAATCGCACCACTTTTAGATATCAAAGTCCACTTCAAACCATTATTTAAACAATAATACAGGAGCAGTATACCGCCGCCGGTCATGTTCCCGCCAAAACACTTTTTCTAGTTAAAAATTAGAGTGTAAAAGAAGAACTTAAATATTATTTTAGCATAAAGGTATGTTTTTGATATTGCTGTATCTTATCGCCACTATTTGTTTTTTTTTTTTTATCTATCAAAAGACATTTGAACAATGATAATAATGTACGTAACGTATGTATGTATGTATGTAGTATATAATATACTTCATGGTAAGTAGTGCTACTATAGTTTTAATAAGTGTTTTTTCTTATAAAATATTCAATTTAGTGTTTTTTTTTTAATAATAATTTATTTAACGTAATTATAACCCATTAAATTTTTTCTTTTATAAACATTTTCATGTCAATTATAGCAAATACAAAATAATCGAAAGTTTTTTTTTAAAATATATGTAAGAGGGGGCCAACGAGCATGCAGCTCACCTGATGGCAGGTGCGTTGCGGGCCTTTTAAAAAGGAGTAAGCTCGTTTCCTGAAAATCTATGTCCTATAGGTCCGATTTTTTTTTAAATTACGTTATAACGGTCCGCTTTTACTAAGCATGAAACAGGTTAAAATGAAGTGTTAGTTACACAACGCGTTTACGGATGTGAATGTTGTCGAGGTTAGTAGCTTTTTACCAAAAACACACATAAAAATAATTTTAAGATATATAAATACAGGCAAATGGTCGATGCATTGGTTTTGATTTTCAATAGTGTTAATTTTCTTTGTTTTTAAAGCTTAGAGCAGCGATCGCATCCGGACCCACCTGAGGTTGCGCTGCATTCGGTGATGGTGGGATACCTTAAACTACAGACTCGCCATGTTGCCCCGTGAACACTGATGACTTCACTTCTTTAACCTAAAACGACGTCGCAAAATGTTTTGTACGGGCCCAAGAAACGCACATCGAAAAGATGGAATCCTTTCGAGCTTTGTTGAGGTGATGGTGATAGCTGGTGGTTTATAATTCGAACGCTAGATGTCGCTTTTCAATGATGTAAGTTATAAAACTAAAGGATCAAGTATTTATTTCACAGTTAAGGTATAAAGGAATGCTTCAGTGATTTGTACAAATAGATAGAAAGAATGAGGAAAGAGTGACAAAGAAAATTATGCCGAAGTGAGTGGAGAGTTGGCAAGTGATGCCTAATTCAGAAGTTTATTAACCAAATTGGCGTGATATTGAAGATGGGCCATGGTCCTTGTGGGTGATAGGTGTCAGAATCTATGGTATGTTTTTTTATGTGGAGATCGAACATCTTATATTATCTAGGTAGTTGTACTGTACTGTGCAATAATCAGGAGTGTGCCAAATCGGACCGTGTCGTGAAAGTCCGTACTCTTTGCCCTACCTTTGTAGGTGTAGGTGTTAGTATCTATGGTATGTTTTATCTATTTCACTTGCACGAGTGGAGTGTGAATATCTGTTGTACAGAACTTCGTAGCTGTATTATAATGTGTAATACTCACTTGTATTGATGACTGTCAAGGGTCTCGTAGAAGTACATGAGCTGGGCAGCTCGATGAGAAGTGTCCAAGAGTTCGCAGCGCCACTGCAGCACGTAGTTACCACACTCCGTCATCACGTGGGAGCCCTGAAGATAATATAACAAATATTAATATAAGTAAAGTTAGGTAATATATTAAGCTTTTACAAGTGGTACAGCCACGCTGCAGCTATATTGTGGTTGTAGCAGGAGTCGGTCGGCTCGACAGGGGAAGGACCACACTCTCACAGAATATTAGCGTAAAATAGTAGCTTGATGCTGCTGTATTTCGTACGATGAGTGTTGAGAACAGGATACCTGTTTTACTGGAAAGAGGATTTTTTTTATAGAATATGGGTGACAAACGAGCACACAGTCCATCTATCTTTGTTTGCGAATTAAAATGCAGATGCGTTGTCAGCCGTGAGGACTAAGATAGAATGCCTCTTTTTTAGTAAAAATGGTCTCCGGTTCTCTACACTCACCATACGAAACACAGCAGCGTTAAGCTGCTATTTTACGCTGGTATTTTGTGAGAGCGTGGTCTTTCCCCGGTCGAACCGACCCATTCGTGCTATAACTATATTATTAATATAGCTACAGCATGGCCCTGCCACGTTAAAAATCACGGATTCTTAATAGAAGACAGATGTAGATGTCTATGGGCAGTAGTATCCACTTACCATCAGGTAGACAGTGTGCTCGTTGGTCACTAAAGCTTATTCTATAAAAATAACAGGAGCAACAATCTGCTGGCGGTTCCCGCCAAATCTCTTTTCTTTTCGGGGGTTTTGAGGTACCTGTATGCTCTCGCCGTCGTGGCAGAGCAGCGTGGGCTCGGCGCGCCGGAAGTGCGAGCCCTCGCGCCAGCTCGCCGCCACCACGCTCTGCGCCGCGCCGCCTGCACACACACACACACGCCTTTCCTTATGGATGCCACACACGATCCAGTTTACCGTCAAGCTTGCAGCGCGCTTGAAGCGGCGTCCGGTAAACTTGACGGTGTATGGTTATCAGTGTGCATGACAAGTCTACTTGAAGCAAATATTGAATTTTGATTCTGCCGACTTGATCAAGCTTGCAGCGTCATGCAAACTTGAACGTGTATATGAGCGGTCAAGTATGCGTGACGGTAGTCGGAGTAAATAAGCGAGAGACGCCATGGTTTCAACTGATGCGGCATCATGCAAAATTGACAGCGAACTTGAACGTGAGTGGTCTATATGGATGCACTGCAAACTTGACGCCGCTTCAAGCGCGCTGCAAACTTGACGAAAAACTGGATCATGTGTAGCATCCATTATATTTACATGATATGGTCGTCTAGTAGATCGTGTAGCGGCACGGTAAGAATACCCACTACCCACATTATCCCGAGACTGTCGTTAGATGCGACAATGGAAAACAAAACAGGAGATGAACAGCAGCGTCTTCCTAATAACGATTAAAAATAAAAAACCGGTTGCCAGCCCGCTGGCCAACGTGGCAACTATGGAAAATATCACCCTCTATGAGGCAAATTATGGTGGAGACATATGCTCAGCAATAGACTTTAATAGGCTGTGACCGTAACGGTAACATGAAATAGTCACCTAGTAGTCGAAATTTGACCGTAATAATTCATTAAATTTCTAAATTTGTACATTAAGTTATAATTTTTGTAATTCACGAAGTCAAGCGAGCTTTAAGCTGAACGCACATTTGTCCGCGCCGCACGCGCCGTACGCACCGTACGCGCCGAATTTTAGAATTCATTGTATGAAACCTCGCACATTACACCCGCACCGTACGCGCCGAATTTTATAAAATGCGGTAGGTATACGATATCGAAGGACGAATGCTGATGACGTCATATAACGCGGCGCGTGCTGATACTCAGTGTTGTCTAATGTTGCCAACTTAGTGGATTTTCCACTATAACTGGTGGTTTCGATTTACATGATATTTTTTTTGCATTGATTATCAATATGTATTCAAATTCAAATTCAAATAGCCTTTATTTCTGATAATATAATACATTTGGAGAATTATTATAATTGCAAAATTTTATAAATTACTTTACATAATAATAATAAAGCCCTTTTTATTCCGAACTACATGCAGTTTAACATTTTTTTGATTTTATAAATTTTATTTCTTATATTATATCACGCAATTCGGCGTGCCTCTCGGCATAGGCCTCCTCCAGCTCTCTCCATTGAGCCCGGTCCTCTGCAACTCTAGTCCAGTATGGTCCTAGAGTTAGGCGGATATCGTCACTCCATCTTGTTTTCGGACGTCCCTGTCTTCTGATGTCTCCTCTTGGATACCATAAAGTTACTTGTTTGCTCCATTTATTTATTTTGCAACGTAGCATATGTCCTGTCCAGCTCCATTTTAGATGGTCTATATGAGTTATTATATCTATTACTTTTGTCTTCCTTCTTATTTCCACATTTCGTATTCTGTCACTAAGCCTGATTCCCAACATGCTTCTTTCCATTGCTCTTTCTGTTTTAGCAAGTTTTTCTCTATGTGTTTCCGTTAATGTCCATGTCTCGCAGCCATAGGTCATGCAGGGGAGAATACAAGTGTTGAAAGTCTTTCTCTTGATATGTGTGCCTAGATCTTTGTTCTTCATTATTTCTTTCAAGGACCAGTATTTCCTCCAACCACAGGCTATTCTTTTGTTTATTTCCTTGGACATGGAGTCTTCAGCAGATATAATTTGTCCTAGGTATACATATTCTTTCACATATTCGAACTTTGTTCCGTAAACCTTTATGTTGCTTTCTGTTGAGTTAGTCATTAGTTTTGTTTTATCTGCGTTAATTTCTAAACCTACTTCTCTGCTTTTTTCTGCTATGTCTTTTACCATATGTTCTAGTTTCTTAGGATCTTCTTCTAACAGAACAATATCATCTGCAAATCTCAAATGATTGAGGCGGCTTCCATTGATTATAATACCATAATCATCCCAGTCTAATTTTCTAAATATGTGTTCCAGCACAGCATTAAAAAGCTTTGGAGATAATGGGTCTCCTTGTCTCACGCCTCTGTTTATTGAAAAGGGGTCTCCTTTTGACTCTAATTTAATGCTGCTTTTGCTTTTTTTGTAGACGGACTTGATTAGCTCTATATAGACATCGTCCACTCCTTGTTCTTTTAGACTCAGCCAGATAAATTTGTGTTTTAGGCTGTCAAATGCTTTGGAGTAGTCTATAAAGCAGATATACAATATCTTCTGGTATTCATTGTATTTTTCCAAGACTTGTTTGATTGTGTGGATGTGGTCTATAGTACTGTAGTTCTTTCTAAATCCTGCCTGTTCGATCGGTTGGTTTTCATCTAAGACCCTTGTTATTCTTTCTAGAATTACTTTTACGAATACTTTGTACACATTTGATATTAGGCTAATTGGTCTATAGTTGCCGATGTCATCTTTATTCCCTTTCTTATGTAGGAGAATGATATGCGATTCATTCCATTGTTACGGGATGGTGCCTGTTGTTATAATATCATTGAATAGCTTGGTTATGATTGGGCTTATTTCTTCTTCGGTGCCTCTGATTAGCTCATTTGTTATATTGTCAGGTCCTGGAGCTTTTTCTAGCTTCTGTGACATGATGGCTTTCTGTACTTCCTGCAAGAGTATTGATGGGACATTTTTATAACACGCATTAGGATCGTTTGTAGCATTATTTTCTCGATCGGTGTCATTGTTTGAGTAAAGAGTTCGATAGTAGTCTGTGGCAAGGCTCTGGATTCTTCTACGATTTGTTACTTGTTTGGATATGTTGCTTTTTAGTTTTGGTATCCATTCCATTCCATATTCTTTTAATTCCTTGAAAGCTTTTTTTGGTCCCCCGGTTCTTTGGATTTCATCTTCTAGTTTTTTCATTCTTCTTAATTTCCTATCCTTTCTAATATTTTCTCGAATCTGTTTGCTCAGTCTAGATATTATGTTACGGTTTTCTTCAGTTTTTGATTTGTCTGTCATTAGTGCTTTTCCATGTAATCGTATTTTTCTGTGACACTTCTGTCAGAGTTTACTATTTCTTTCAGTGTGTTAATGAACGAAGGATCTATTTTTTCTCTGTGTTGTTCTAATGTCAAATTATTTTTAATTTTATTTCTACCTCTTTTTGTTGGATGCTTTTTTAAACGGCAGCGTACCATGCGGTGGTTCGTATTAAAATTTAAATTTTGTGTTACGGCCTACGGTTGCTCCCTTAAAGGATCCAATCCCCCGGGGCCCATCAGCAGAAGACTTCCCGAGCAAACGTAGGTCGGGCCTCCTAAGGCCACGTGGAATCTCTCTAATTACACTAAATATATGGGGGAGCGTTATACTACGGCCAGTCGACCGGAAGGAATTTGGCGGGGTTCACTTACCTCTATCCAAGGCGACTGGTTCCTCCGGAGTCGGTCAGGTCGCATGTGGTTGTGTAGTGCAAGGGAAAGAATGGTGATGTGGTGTGTATCTGGGTGTGACTGATGGTGATTGAACCTAGACCTTAGCCGTCGGCAACAGCCCGAGCGTCGACACCGCTTCAACTTGAGGGGGCCTTTCGAGGTTATCCACAGTCACTTTCTTGGTTCACCACGATGCCAGTCACTTAACTCTATCGTACGATTAACTAGCTTACAGAAGCCACTAACTATCGCGGGGTATAAGGTTACCGCACAAAACACGCCCGGAGTTTCTAGGTCAAAGGTCACTACCGTTTCGCGTGGCAACAGTTCTAAATACCGAGGCCGCACTAGCTTATATTGTCGAATGCACTTATACAGATTCTAAGTCGGACCCAATAAGTCCCGGGAAAGGCTATCCAAACAGGGAATGCGCGTTATAATTCCTAGACAGGATATTTACTAGACGCCCTAACTATTCCGCGGTTCCCGCACAAAATTAACAGCGTGCAAACATTAGCACATCTGGCAGATGACTGCCTCGCTTGCGACCCGCGCGCCACTGCCACGCCCCAGACGAAGTTCAAACCGGAATCGCGCCGAGCTGAGTGACATCTGGTGTCGACTCCGACATCAACGTTTTGCGCGAACAAACCCCCGTCCCGGACATAAGGATTTAGGTCCGCGAGCAAACCGGTCAGCGGGACAAGGTCGAGACTGCAAGTTGCAAGACCGAATCTACAACCAAACTAGGCCACCTTAGGCAACCCATCAGGTCTTGCAACCCTAACCAGCGCCTCAAAAGATAGCCTTAACGTGGCGCCGGAGGGTCAGCCTCCACTGGATGCCCCTCCTGGGCATCGCAGCACTTTATCAAGTCCTGTATTGGACAGAAGTCCGACGACCTGTTTCAAACACCTATCTGTGCCCCTATGATTAGTTCCGCAATCCGACCGGATCAGGTCTGCAAACAGCGACGCGACACGAAGCGGCCCCGAGCGGCCTCCTAAGCTTCAGTGCAAAGAGCACCTACCAATTCCACATGAACGTCGTCTGTGGAGAGCCGAACGAAACGCACAGATAGTCCCTAGTATGAATTTTCAACAAGTAGGCCTAGCCAGGCCACCCACCATATTATCATTTACTAAAATAGTGCGGCAGCTGATTTCAATCTGATAATCTCCAAAACTAGCTAGCCTGTTAGGCAAGTAGTCCTATGCTCATATTTCAACTAATTTTTCAAAAGCATCAATGTTCAACTACAGAATTAATTCAACCAAATTAATCACCGATGCGCATAGGTCAACTTGCAAATTAAACAAAACAATAACGTAAGGGACAGCCCTACTTCTTCGCAAAGCAAAATGATTAAACACTATCATAAACATAAACATAATTTTTCAAATAGTGCGCCATTCAATTTCAGATGAATTCAAATTTTCCTTTCAGCAAGCAGACGCAACAATCAAATACAGTGATTAAATATATGTACAAAACACATGCAGTAGC